TATGTAGGTATGTCATGCAGGCGAATTTTGACTAGACCGAAGGAGTCCAAGATATCGACAGTTTTCTGTCACAACTCTGTCGCCAACATGCTGGTTTTGTCCCTCAAACTCTAGGATAATGCTCTGCCATGATGTAACAGAAGACGATTTGTGTACTAAACCGGGATAGACATCGAGCCTTCTGTATACCTTGGAGGGAGGCGCGTCTGTGTGGTGTTTCTCTGGGTATCAGCAGCAGCATAGTTGGTATGCTGCAGCACTCGTTAAAGACTGTGACGCAGGCGAATGCTCCCGGCAGGACCCGCGGAGGAGGACAATGGAGCAGGTGACCGATCACTTGGAGTTTGAGTCTCCGCTGGTCGTCATCTTCGCTATCGTATGATTGAAGGTCTTGTCACGCTTGACCGGCAATTGTGCCTTATCGTGAGATTGTTGCCATTATATTTGGGTTTGTGCCACAGCTTGTATACCGACGCGCTTGCTGCAAGCCTGTCCGAGCGGTCAGGGGTACCGATACAAAGGGCTACTCCACGTCGTCCAGGTGCAATGTTCTTTAGACCCGGATGACCGGATCTCAGGGGCAGTGGAAAGTCTCCTAGCCTTTCGCCACGCGGAGCTTGGCGACCCATCAAAAGGGGAGCAGCCGAATGGCTGGGGATGTGCTCCCAGTTCCCCCTGTCCAGCCTAGCCACTTTCGCGCGAGGTGAGTATCCAGAAAAGGGGAAGCTCACTTCCGATGGGACGGCCGGGTTTGTAATTGTAAACCACATGACCTGTCAACGCCAGGAACGGAGCTCGCTTGATGAGGCCTGACCCAGGATATGTCCCTGCTTCGAGAGCTGATCAATGAACCTTGACTGCCCCGTCGTCGGTTTCAGAATCATCTTCGGTCTTGCCGGGGAGGGATCCTGGTGGCTCCCAGTCGTATCTCCATTCCCCGATGCTTCCAATTCTTCTGTGGATTCCGTCGAGCTTCTCTGCCACTTCCTAGACGAGATAATATGGGTACCGGATGGCCCCCGCGCCAACTGTGGTTGCCTCACAGGGGTTCAGTGGCCTCTTTGGAGAGACGGTGAAGGAGGCAACGAGTGCCTGGATGTTTGGATTGCCGCCGCGAAGTCCCCAAGCCGGCTGGCTGCCGCTTACCCAGTAGTTCCGGAAGGAAACCAGGGAGAATGACGGCACGAAGCGACTGAAGTTGAGACAGACAGTGTTGCCTTGTTTGAGTGGGTTGATATGACAGGCCCTGGGCGCTGGGCATCAAGGTGCAATTCCTTCAACCTTGAGCGGTGACCCCGCGAGCGCGGTGAATTTATGACGAGGCGACGATGGCAATATCAGCGGCCAGCGGCCCGGCGCTCTGGAAGGTCCCCCATCTCATCATGGTATCATCTCATGCTGGTCCTGACTTCTGGGTTGCTGGGTACAGGAACACCTGGGATCCCAGGCTGAGTGGGGGATAGGAGCAGGGGGTGCTCCCAACGGCTGGGTTGATGCGAAGAGCAATTTCAGGGTCAAACATGCCCGTCATTTGCGGTCAAATTTCCATGACGGGGGAGGAACGCCCGCTTGCCGGACGAATCAAAAGATTGCGTTTCCTGATGGTGATCAAGCCGTGTGCGCAGCAGATGCGAGACGTCGGTCAATGGGCTCGAGAAGGAGGCGAGAAGCGGTAGCGGAGCTCAAACTTGGTTACGCAAAGAATGCCACGATGTGGTGTCCCGTCCGTCCCGTCCCAAGTGGCTGGAAATTGCGGGCTGCATTTTGCCCATGTTCGAATCGAGGTAACAATCAGAAACTGTGCGGCGGCGAGGCGGGAGGGCGGACGGGGCGGCGCTGGAGCGGGCAGCTACTGCAAGTGTTTGCAGTGCATGCTTCTTCTATCAGTATCCGCTTCCTGTACGGGGAGCATTTGTCCTGTGCTCCGCAAGTACTTCTCGGTCTGCTCTGGATATGGAATTTCGATGTCGGCGTCGTCGGGTGTGGCCGAGTGGACTTGTCTCAGTCCTGTCAGATTGGGCTGTCATTCTGTCATTCCTGGTATCTCAGTTGTCGTCGATCTAGAGTGCCTGTCTCAGCTGTGTCGATTGGCGATTGAGTCTGCGCAGCGATAAGAGGGGGGTGCGGACCGAGTACAATTGGCCAAGAGCATGAGAAAAGTCGAAGTATGTTGGGGTAGCAGTATGCGTCACGGTTCTTTAGCCAGTCGTACGTGGCCAAGGTGCAGATGGGATGGCCTGGGACGGCGGCAGTGGTTGGCTGGTTGGATGCGGTGGGCGAGAGGATTGGCGATGGACGGAAAAAAGAAAGTGTCGGTTCAAGGATAAGAGATTGGCGGTGGGAGCGATGAGTGAGAAATGATGGGTGGCTGACGGTTGACGAGAAGGGTTTCGTTTCTTTTTCCAGTCTGGCCGCTCCCTATTTCCTCCTCGTCGTCCTCGTCGATTGCTTCCTTCTGCAGCCCTTCCACATAACCACCCCACTCGAGCTATTCGTTCTTCGTTGACCAGCACGCTAGGTCTGCGTTGGGGATTTGCTCCCATCTGGGCTGTAGTTGTCGATCTGATATGCATCTTCATGGATTGCGCAGGCTAGATGCAGTCGGTGAGAAAACGACGTCCGACAGGGGATGACGGGCCCAAAACACCATCCGGATTTACGCACGTAAACTCTTGGGTCGGTCGGCCTGTACCTTCCACATGGGAATTTCTTATTATTGGCAGAGCCCTTCGGTCAATCGGACACGCAGACAGCAGAACATGCAGAGAGGTACGCAGGCGCAGCTGAACGACGATTTCCTCGGGTGCAGATATGCCTCACGTCGTCTCTTGCCCTCGTATGCCCGTCCCACACCACACAAGACACAAGGTGCTCACTACCCTGCGGAACTGCCACAAGCAAAGGGAGAGGGGCGCATAGGTGAGAATGCAGAGACCGTGGATCGTGGGCCATGTGGCCTCCAGAAGAAAAAGAAAGGAATAGACCGACGCCATGAGGAAGGCTGGGAAGGCGCGACCAAGCCCAACCTGCCTCAGACATGGGGTAAACGGGCCAGGGAAGGCAGTATCCGGTGGTGTGCAAGGTGCCTGCCCATTCGTACCAACATTTCTTCCCTCTCGAGGCTTGGGCTTAGGCAATATGCTTGACCGCATTTTCTGGCTCCTCCTCCCGCTTGTCCGCTCAAAGGAACCTCATTTCCAAGGCCGATGACGGACTGCACATTCGACATCGCCAAAGACAACACACCACAAGTGATCGATCATGTAATCAGAAGGTTGCTTCGGCTTTCTGCAGAGCCTCCAGTCAAGAGTACGGCAGTATGTTGTAGGCAGCGCATCTGCGAACACCTTCAACTGCGCTTGCAGTTAGGCTTCATTGCTCGTCTACTGGCGTCCGCTTCGCCATTGCACTCCCTCCCGTCTGCAACATGCCGCCTTGTGTTGGTGTCTCGAGGAAATCGGGAACCAGAAGGGGAGAGCAAGCAGCGGGTTCGATCGAAGCTCGGCATGGCTGATCCCGGCCAGCCCGTCCCTCTTGTCCTTCGCTCTGGGCAACCTCTCATTCTCCCTTGCCCAGTTGCTGGGCAAATGCCAGTGAGCTGAGACTTGCTCGTATGTGGTCAGTTCAAGATCTGCACCTGTCACATCACGAACCAACTACTCGCGCTGTATCATATGATCAATCTTTTCTTTTTGTGGCTGCAGCAGCTGCTCGCCGCCGCATACCGCCCTCCGACCATCGCATAGATATCTGGCCGCTGTTCGCTTGCATTACCTGCAGGGAAACAATCGGCGACAATCAACCTCGGTGTGGTGATGCCGGATCCTGTTTATCAACTCGTCATGGCTTGGCTGCTGGCTAACCAGTCCAAAGGTTGACATACATACGTACGTCCAGGTCCATCGAACCATTCGAAGCGGCAAACGGTCGATGATCAACCGTACACGCCAAGTTGCATTTGATCCCACACTTCATGGACATACTAACCGGTTCATCCCTTAACTCGGTCACGCTCCCATGCACCCTATCCGCGAAGCGAGGATGCATATCCCTGCACTTGTTCTCGGCATCTGCCTGCAGCCATAGCGAGTCTGAATGTCGAGCCATCCGTAACATGGAATTCTGGTCCCCATTCGTGACCCATTTGCTGGCAACTGATCACGCTACCTCTGACTTGCACCGCCAAGACCCTGTCGGCCAGCGGTATGCATCATGCCCATCAACACCGAGTCGTCCGTGTGAATAAGGCGCTAAGGGAACGGCTCGCAGGCAGATGGACGTGGCCTGCAAGATCCCTTACATTCTTTCGTTGACTTTCTATGCGTAAGCCCGACTCTAGGCTTTTCAAACGCTCTGCCTCGACTCTGACAGGATGCCGTTGATCGATCCACCAAAATGGTTTGCTTTCGTTGCACACCTTTGGATGCACGATACTCACTTGGAAGACACATGCACAACGTTGCGCGCCAGGCTTGCCACTAGCTTTTCAAAAGAAAGCGGTTCGATTCTTCCCTCTGCTTCCCTTGAAGCACCTCTAGCAAAACTGGTCCTAGTCGCGGCTCAACCTTGCGAGGCTCTACCAGTCAACTTCTTGCTCCACTGTTAGCGTTTAGGATGACAGATCGAATAATCCCCCATGATGAGGCGTGTCAGGACCACCATGTCGGCTTGTCGCGCCGCTCCTGAACCGGTGGGATCTACATGGGTAGCTGCGCAGTTTCCAAACCATGGACAACGACAACGGCAACAATGCCAGTAAACGAGAAAGGAGATGGCCTTACATCGTGGTGCGACAAGCTGACACCTGTGTTTCTCGTTTTCAGGCCAACCAACGAACCGGGGTTACCAACGCCTGTCACAACGAATTCTCCGCTTCTTGGTGGCCCTAACCCTGAAGCCCTCCCACCGCGGGGCACTGGAAGAGATGTGCTATCCATATTCTCGGGAAACGCCAGGTGACTCAACGAGCAGAGCTCATTCTGTACAGACTCATTCGAGTATCCCCGGTGGCACAATTGGCTAGCGCGTCAGACTGTTAATCTGGAGGTTCGTGGTTCGAGCCCACGCCGGGGAGACATTGTGGTTGAAATCCACAGTACAGAACAAAGCTTACATTTTTTAGCTTTTGTCCTGCTTCATTGATTGATTGCATTGGTATTTCGATTTATTTTTCTTCCTGTTGGTTTTCTCAACTTTGGTTCTGACAATCGCCCTCATTGGCCCTTCTCAAGGTTTACAGCAAATGGTGTAGCCCCGTGATCCACAAGCAAGGCAACGACAGCCGCACAACGTTGCTGCGTCACAATTCACTTTGTCTGCCAACCTAGGCATGGTGAATATGGCGTGGAAAAGATGGTCTCTCACTCAGGAGCCAGTCAATTTGACTAATTAGTGCGCCGAAATCTACTGCTCCTCTTGTCGGGTTGTTGCGATTCTACCTCCCAATGCATGTGGGTTATTCAAAAGATGCATATTGCTTGGATTCAGCATGTCCATACTGTACGAAATCTGATAGCCATAGCATGGCAGTGAGTGCCATTCCATCCCAACGACTTGAACTATATCATCGCGGTTGTTGGCAGCCTATATTTTATAGTCAACAACTGGGTTTCAATGGTTCTGCATCATCATTGCCTACCAGTAATACATGGCCAGAGGCACACAGACACATAGAAAGCACAACAACCTACCATAGGCTGGTCCACCTGAGATCTCACCTTCGGTCAAGGAGGCTCACCTGCTCGGTAAACTACTGCGTCGCCAGCTGATATGGACATGGTCTTGAAAAGGGGGTAATCTCCACCACAATATCGTCAGGCCAGAAGTCTCAAAAGCTTGACGTCGGCCGGTGTTGGGGTTTCCTACGTGTCCCTTGTATGTTCCCCCCGTAATCGACATGTGACAGGTCACTTACCAACCCGTCACAGCCCTGTAGATCTCTCACCGCCTGCAAGAACATCTCTTTTCTTTCTCAAGGTGGGAAAGCTGCAAGGGTGGCCTGTGTTATGGTCAGCAAGAGGAGCATGGGAGTCAATATCCCGGCTTACCCTCCCGGTGCGGTGTTCCCGACCTCGAAGCACCCCGGCAGAGCTTCGATGTTTATTACATGTGCCACTTGAGCCCCCAAGCGTTCCTAAAGCAGGCATTCTTCAAGGCTGCTACCACCCTCCAGGGGCGTTCTCACGTCACACAGCTTCAGGCATGCTGGTTGCGGTGCAACAATCCTGGCAAACGGCCTGAACGGAGACGGCTGACCCTGTTCTGCTCGCCTCGTCTGCCCTCTCTTGGCGCTTGTTGTCATTCTGATTCCCTCGGATGTCCCAACTTCACCGGCTAGCTGCCGTCGCCAAGCTGTTCGATGGTCGACTGGGGTTCCGGGGGATCCGGAAATCATCACATTGGAGAATGGCAGGTCACAGCATTCTGATATCACGGTCGCCTGATACGTGGCTCTCCAGGGCCCATACCAGGCCTCATGGTCAGTGGTGAGTTGCCTTACACCGCTGATTCAGGAAAGCGCAGAATACGCTCGGTTCCAGTGGCCATTAGTCTCAGGACTGACGACAACGCTATCATCTCGCCTGTGGAGAAATATATTTGTTGGCTCATCAGGCTCCGGCAGAAAGTAAAAGTTGGTCAACCTGGGGCCGGAGACCTTGGCGGGCTGAATCAGAGAGCACCCCAGCCGCCCCTAGCAGGATTTAGGTTTAAACAGTTGGAGGCTCTGCGAAGACTGGAAGGTCCTACTTTCATTCTAGAACAAGTGTCATTTGAAGCCTCATAGGATGACGATGGCCCTGGTGCTTTAGCTAGGCATAGCCCGGTGTCAGCCGTCAACCGCAGCCTGGGACACGTCAGAGCAGGACTGACGTGTACGCCCAGTTCTTGCTATTGCAAAACCTTCTACCTCCAAGGAGAAAGAAGAAAAAGGGCTATGTGATATCTTGGGCATGCAAATTTGAAACGGACTCGGTTGGTGACTGGCAAGTATGGCTCATCGGTGTCAACGGTATTTGTCGGCTTGTCAACCGCTTAACCAAGGTATGGAATGCACAAGCCAGGCTGTTCTTTTTACGCAACTCATCTGGAAGCTGGTTGCTATTGTTGCGAAAAGGATTTGGTTGTCGCGATAAACGGGAGGCGTGCAAACTGGAGTGCTAGCTGATAATCGGAGGGGGGGCAGACTTCCGGTTTGCTGTCATTCATTCCTATTTTGCCAATCGAGCTACTGTTACTGCGGCTTTTTGTGTCGCAGAACAAGAGAACGCCAATCTCTGACGTTGCTGACGGCGCCCTGGGATTGGCGAGGGTGGCAATGCATTAGCACGAAGGGACCGACCACGTAGCCGCGGTCCGATGAGCCTGGATCCGATCGATATCCAGGGCCGGCACCTGTTGGGCAAGGGAACTCTTGTCATGTCATGGATGGAGGGCTGTCAGACCTGGCAACGCATCAGTGTCTGCGAGGCGTGAGCCTCGGGAAGCTAGCTGCATATGACACAACTTGGACGGACCTACGGTGGCAGGCCTCGATTCTAAATAAGGCAGGGTACTGCAGCTCGTGTTGACCGAAACCCTGCCTGAGTGGCTGGCATCCCACTCGGTGAAGCACCAGCATGGTTTCTTGGCCTGGTACATTCCCATCAGGTTCAAGATACATCTTGTGCAACGATGACTGGACTCTGAGGGCAGCGCTCGCGGTGAGTAGACTTGCATCAATGTAAGCGCAAGCACAAACTCGAGCTCCTGATTGAAGGACACGGCAGCAGGGTGCTGGCTAGGTGCGGTGAGAAGGCGGATGGATTGTAGTCGGGCAAGAAAGTAAGACACCCGAGCGCTGGCCCCGGGCAACGTCGGGGGCTGCTGCGGGACACGAGGTTTGGTGCATCCATGATGGTCTTGTGTGTCCTCACCCCTCGAGTGCAGGCAGGCTATCGGATGCTGTGTGCTGAGGGAGCACCACCCATATTGGTGTTTGGTGGAGGACGAGAACGACGTTCTTGCAACTCCATCAACCGACGAGGAACAAGCGGCTGGGAGCTCCCGTTGAGCTGTGAGTGACGCAGGTTGGCCTGCGGTGCGTGGGCCTCCGTCCCCTCCACCGGCTCCACAATCGCCCGTACCGTGTATCGCACAACAGCCGACACTGTACCTCGGGTTGCGACTCCATCACCGAGGGGCGGAATACCCTCTGGCTAAGGTGTCTTACTGCGTATTGTCAGCGCAGCCGGGTGGTTGACGTTATTGCCGTGCTGTGTGGCATGTGGAGGCAAGGGAGAAGCAATCGACGCGAGGCAAGACAATGCGGCTTCTGCCTGGGTTATGGTTGTCATGCCGTGGCTGACTCTCGGGCATGAGCGCCTGATTTGTCCAGGCCGGCTTCCATGATTTTCCTTTTGTGTTGCGACCTCCAAGGTACTTGTGCCTTGGACAGCCAGAAGTGACCCAACCCAACCCCCCGTACACCGTCAACCTCCTAGGCTTTTCCAGTGTTTTACTTTTTTCTCCCATGCCTCCTGCAACCTCACCCCCATCATCCATCCCTACCTGGCCACCTGACCGTACACCGGCCCTACACAACGGGTATCCGACGCTACGCTCCGCTCCGCTTCTTCTCCGTCCAGCCTAATTGTGGAGGAGACAACAACGGCTTCCAACCTGTTTTCTCCCCTCTCCATTTTCCTCGGGTCTCACAACCTCCCCACGCACGACCTGCTTGACGCAACCCACCGGGCGCAAGCCACGAACCACGCACGCGGACACACGCACGCAAACAAGCAATCAATCTACACACAGCATAGGTAAAGAAGCACCACCACCAGCGCGTGGCTGCGCATCGCATCGCATCGCATACCATCGATCAACACCGACTGACCACTACCACAAGACGGGACAAAATGGCCGGCAAGAAGGGGGCAGACAACAGCAAGAAGGTTGCCGGCAACGCTCGCAAGGCCGAGGCAGCCGCCCAAAAGGCAGCTTCCGAGGACGCGAAAAAGGCCGCTGCTGAGGATGCCGAATGGTCAAAGGGTGCCAAGGGCAACGCGAAGAAGTGAGTGCAAGGAGGTGTCAGAGAGGAACGGTGGAACCACCAATGTCCTACGATGCATCACACACATGCACACATACCGTGCCTCGACGCCATCCTGATCCATCATTCCTCACAAACCATGCGAGATCACCGTTACCCCATGGAGAACAGGACAAGGGCCAAGGCTGACCACAGTTCGATCGTCCAGGGAGGCAGAAGCCGCCAAAAAGGCAGAGGCAGCTCGGAAGAAGGCCGAGAAGGATGCTCTCCTAAAGGAGGAAGAGGCCAACACACCGGGTCGAGCTGGTCCGAAGAACAGCAAGACGGCCGTCAAGAAGACACGCGGTCTTGACCTGTCGCAGCTCGACGACGATCGCGGCGGCTCGCTCGCAGCGCTCAACGCCACGGGTATCGACAACGCGCTCGACGCCCTCTCACTGACGGGCTCCGACAACAACGCCAAGGTCGACAGACACCCCGAGCGACGGTTCAAGGCGGCGTATGCGGCCTTTGAGGAGCGCCGCCTCAAGGAGATGGACGACGACGGCACGGGCCAAGGCCTGCGTCTGCAGCAGAGGAAGGACAAGATCAGGAAGGAGTTTGAAAAGAGCCCGGAGAACCCCTTCAACCAGGTGACCGCGAAGTTCGACACCACCAAGGAGGAGCTGGCCGGGATCAAACAGAAGGAGAAGAGCAAGATCGAGGCCAGGCTTGGGAAATAGAGCGGAGCGGGGGTGCCCGTCGGCGCCGTCCCCTTGGTGCTTCACGATGCTCGGTGACACGCCTGGGAGGATCGTATGTAGACGTGACACAAATTTCTTAGGGCCGGATAGCAGCAAGCATCGGCCACTTGCATGAGGCACAGCACCTCTCGGGTGTGAATAGATCATGAGACCGGAATCTGCCCCTCCTTTCCTGACGGGTGGTTTGTCGCCGGAGCCTCTTCCACGAATCACTTTGGTGTGCACAACATAAAACCGCGTTCTCAACTGTCGACCGTCCATGAAGCATGCACTCTGTCTCTCCGCCATCCCCCCCGTTCCT